AAATTCATTGGCAAATAAAGGGAAATTCGGTGAGAAATCACGTGCTCGTTACAGTGCGTAAGATCTTTTTTTTTTCTGCTCGAAGCCCTAACGTTTTTCTTTTCACGAGTCCGAAACTCAAAACTCATTCCTTCCCTCAACACGAACAAAAGTTTTAATTATATATCTTTCTGCAGCAATTTAATTGGCTTCCTGGGGGGCCTATAGTTTTTTCGTCAGAGCCCTGTGGAGCCATGAAACTCTTTAGGACCTAGCACTTAAATATTTATGAACGAGATTCGGACTCTACTAAAGCAAAACTAAACAAGTTAAAAAAACAAGTTAAACGCAAATAATATCGTCCAGCTTTCTAAACTTAACTCTTGACTTTCAAAGTTTTTTCATAACCTTAAAGACAGTCAAACGGATACGTATACTGAAGTAACTATTCTCAATCCGAAATGCTAAATTGATCACCTGACAATGGTAAAGGTAAAGATCTCTCCAATTCAAAATCATGTACTTAATGACAGTCTCCCGTAGTCTAGAAGTCAGTGAAAAAAGTATCGCTTTTTGTACTAACATCTGTTGACTTACAACTGAAAAATTATTGCTACAATTTTATTCGGAACTATTGTTCCCTTACCTTTATGCTCAAGTGATGGAATGTTGCGTTATCAATAAACTTGTTAGAATTGTTGTATTTATCACTTGGTAACAGCTCGCATATCATCTTTCCGTCTTGATCACGAAATGCCGCCAGGTTTGTTGAGAAACACGATGAGTGATCGANTTATAGTTTTTACGTCAGAGCCCTGTGGAACCATGAAACTCTTTAGGACTTAGCACTTAAATATTTATGAACGAGATTCGAACTCTACTAAAGCAAAACTAAACAAGTTAAACGCAAATAATATCGTCCAGCTTTCTAAACTTAACTCTTGACTTTCAAATTTTTTTCATAACCTAAAAGACCGTCAAACGGATACGTAATACTGAAGTAACTATTCTCAATCTGAAATACTAAATTGATCACCTGACAATGGTAAAGGTAAAGATCTCTCTAATTCAAAATCATGTACTTAATGACAGTCTCCCGTAGTCTAGAAGTCAGTGAAAAAAGTATCGCTTTTTGTAATAACATCTGTTGACTTACAAATGAAAAATTATTGCTACAATTTTATTCGGAACTGTTGTTCCCTTACCTTTATGCTCAAGTGATGGAATGTTGCGTTCTCAATAAACTCGTTAGAATTGTTGTATTTATCACTTGGTAACAGTTCGCACATCATCTTTCCATCTTGATCACGAAATGCCGCCAGGTTTGTTGAGAAACACGATGAGTGATCGACACAAAGTTTACCGCACTCTCGAGGTTCTTTCACTAAAGCTGAAACCAAAGGAGCTAAGTTCAGGTAACGAAACTTGTCCGCTGCAAAGTTAGCGTAGGCCACACC